TGTGTTTTTATATGTTCTCCATGATCTGCGATTGTCGATGAATTATTTTAACGTCCTGGTAATTAGAGGAGCGCTCTACAGAGGCGAGGCGGGGGGAAATAAAGCGAGCTGTAAGCTCGGCGTGAATATTTATAACCGGTTCAGACGAACACGATGAAATAATCAGAGGTCCAATTTGTTCAGTCGTAAGAACTCGTGTTTCTGTCGTTGCTTCAGAGCATGAATAAAACTTTTGTTTTCAAGCAGCTCTCCCTCTGTGGGATTAGCAGATGTGTGAGTGCTTTTCTTCCTATCTGGGACGTGCTTCCCTCCCAGGCCTCGTTTTTGGGGAGTTTTTTCCCCGCGTTGTTGTTTACGCTCTTTGTGAATCTTTTTTTCTGACTGGTTTGAAGGACGAACACGTCAGTGCTGTGGCGCCTGATGAGAAGCTTCTATTCTTACATATATATCTTATGTATTTCTCCTATTCTGTAGCAGCTGTGGGCTGTTTCTCACGTCAGTCTCATCTCATTGTTTCCTAATCTCGTGGTTTTAGCGTCAAACTCCTTCCTGTTTCCAGATGCAGGCCTGGTTATTCTCAGCTCACTGTCAGAAACCCCGAGATCACGCAGATGTTTTAATGTGGCCTCCTCACACAAATCTCAGCCTCGGTTTTGGCCTTGCAGCAATGCCTGGTCCTGCTGCTGTGCAGCAATCGCAGCTTTTTTAGCTCCCTGTCTGTGGTGATGAAAAATGTATGCGAGTTAATTTGCAGATTTGCATTTATTAACAGGCAGACAGATTATTTCCTAACTGACATTTGAGTGAGTCAATCAAACAGTTGATTCGGGGCATTTATGCTCTCACGACTGGGCGGACTCGAGCTCTGAGTCATCTCAGCTCGCCTTATTTTAGTTGCATGAGTGTCTGGAAAATGCAGCTACCATGTAAAATGCAAACAGAAATGATACAAATGTAATTAGCAGCCAATCAGACGATGTTTGCTGCTAGATTTGTCCTGAGAGGCGGCAGCGGCGGGGCCGAGCGCGTGCAGTTTATTCCAGGGAGTGGGAGGGCGTTCGGTTAAAGCGTGATATTTTGGGCTCGAGCAGACCCGGGACCTCGTCGGTTGTGTTTTTCACTGCGGTTGCCATCACATGCCCATCTGCTTCTGGGGTTTGGATCCTTTCACTGAGTCCACGTCCTCCCGCCTGGCTCACGTCTTACACTTAAGCTCAGCACGGATTTTCATCCGAGTCGAATTAAGTGGTCCAGATGCATGATGGGAGGATGATAGTCTGGCATGCCATTAAGGTCAGAGGAGTTTATAGAGCACTCGTTTACACACAGCCACTTGGTAAAATTGCACTGCTGCGTGCTGTTAGATCCAAGTCTGTGTTGGCTGTTTCATGTCGAAGTACTGCTGCACAGACATGACAAAGACTCGCTTTATGCACACAGTTTGCTCCCACACTCGATCATCCAGGCTGATCCTCGTCACATGGTTCTGTCTGACGTCAGCATGACATCAGCATGACATCAGCATGACATCAGCATGACATCAGCATGACATCAGCATGACATCAGCATGACATCAGCATGCCAGCGCTGCAGTTTTCAACTCTGGAAACAGAGAAAAGTCCAAACTCTATCATGAGCTGTTTTTCTAGGACTTACCTGACTGATGTCAGCCCATCTTTAACCTCCACACTACAGCCTGACAAGCCCGTTGGCGTGACATCGACCTGCACTGATGGAGGACAGGGCAGCTTCCTTACTTAACCCACTCAACAGTGGGAATGCTTCCACAGCAGACCGTGTCCAGCTGTGTCCTACATATTAGACAGTTGTGGAAAACATCCTCAAATTATGCAAAGTTCATGGGAAAAATGTCTTTTGTAGCCCAGAGGAACGTGGAACTCTTTTTTTTTTCCCTGGAAGTTTCAAAGTAATTTGAGTTAGAAAAGGTCGTGGAGGAATCACATTTCAACTTAATTAAACTTAAACCTTTCAGTACGTCTGGAATCAGATTTGAGTTCGTAGAAACATCATTAATGGCAATGACTTCATGTCTTTAGGCGTGTAGGTCGAGCTGACCTGCTGAAGATCAAACAGAAAGTCAGGATGGAGAAAAAAACGACGATCAGCAACTCAAATGACTGCTAGTTACAGCTACGGTATCTCTGAACAGCACAGCAGATAAGAACAGGAAACTGAGGCCAAGCTTCACGCAGACTCCTCTAAATCAGAAACCTTTGCCTGGTCTGATGAGTCTCAAAGTTTAAAGACGGGAGGGTCAGAAGTCTGAGTGTTGTTTTTATGGTCTTTATCAGGGCTGAATCTGAGCCACGGGAATGAAGCGATCTTCTTTGGTGACCCCGTCATCCAGGTTCAGCATCGCGTCACTCTGTAGGTAATCGCATAGACAGCGATGCCGTAGTTATTTAGACGTTTTTACATTCAGCGCCTCGTCGTCTTCATCGTGCTGCTCAGCTGTTACTGAGCACAGTGACTCTGATGAATCTAACAGTGGTACAGATATTTGAATCGCACCGGCTTAAACACAGTGATGGCACTGCTGTTATAAACTGCTTAAAAATAATCGTCATTCAGCAAAAATAAGCTGTGAGAAGAGCCGGGGGCAGAACCTCCATCCTCCCTCAGGCCAAGTCTGATGTGAGCTGCCAAGAGCACATGTTTGTGTTTCTGCTTCCTTATTTATGATTACATGAAGCTTTGAAGGGACGAGGCCTCGTGTTACCCGAGGACACCTCAACCAGCAGCTGATTTAGTGTCAGAAACTCTTTTCTTCGATATTAAGGAGCAGTAAAACGAGCTCTTTGCTTCTTCTCACAAATGCTTGTTACGCTACAGAAGTCACACAGACACTTGGACGGTGGCTGGAGCCATTTTTGGGACTCAGCGTGACCCCGGGAGCACATTTTCATAGCAGTAAATGCCAGAGCTAATCACTGTGGTGACACCCCACCGTGCACGTTTGTCGTGTGACAGTTGCAGCTTCTGCATGCCAGCAGCCGTGTTTGCATGAGAGTGAACGTACCGCAGCGGCGAGGCCTTTTAACCCTCCGCCTTTGTTGTGGAAGTTCCTTTGTTCGGGCTGTTGCCCTTCCTGCGTCAACGTTGAGGCTTTTGACTCAACCTCATTCATCTCGCCGCTGCTCTTGAGACTCTTGGCAGGTACAGAGGGTTGGAGTGACGGCGTAAGATCAGTCCCAAAAGATGGCGTCTGCTGAAACAAAGAGCAGCAATGGCTCACCGGGGAAACGCACACCGCCTGTTTGATGCTATACGTGAGGCAAAGGCAGTTGTTTGCGCTGCGTCTAGGCCACTTTACTGAAAGGCTTTGGCTGGGTGACAGTGCTGTTTTACTTGTATGTAGCTTATAAGTACAGCAGCAGCACCACAAGTGACGTTTGGATCGTCTCTGGCAACAGCAGAGGGAAAAACCTTCATCCTAGATTTGAAACCACGATAAACGTCAGTGTCTCTTCATCAAAGTTACCATCGTTACCTTGACTTCAGCAGCTTTAGTTGCCTCAAACCTGCAAGAACTAAAGTCCAGAGACGACGACCACGAGTCTGACCGGGGGTTCCTCCCACAGCCAAAATACTTTCATTGTCTAAACGTAAGGAGAACTACAAACGTCGTGATGGGGCAACGACTGGAAACTGAACCTGAACTAAAAAGAAACAAATCAAGTTAACTGGCAACATGTCACACGATCAGGTACAAAAAGAGCATCTTTGAGAATCAGACTGTGCATGTACAAGCTGTGGAAGACTTTCAGTTTTGAAGAATCAAAGTCACTTTTGAACCACGAAGGTGAACTTTTATGTAAAAATGAGCCTTTTTTCTGTTAAGCAAACATTTGTAATGAAGGTTTGTGTCTGACTTGCTGTCCACTGTATTTCCATCCATTAGGAACCTGAATAGGTGTTCTCAGCATTTCTGTATTTGCATTTAGCGTGTTTCATATTCGGCCTGCACAGAACAGGAAGCACTTTGTGCAGCCTTACGTGTTGCTTGGTGAACAGCTGTTTCACATAAATTGCTAATAAACACATTCAGCGATGATTTTAATATTTATTCTCACTTCCTGTCATTTTGGCGGTGGCGTTGTTTTAACATTTTTTCTCGGGGCCGACTAAAACCTCTTTGGGCTGCGCCAAAAACTCCTTTATGCGGGAAAAAACGTTGTTTTATTGACCATCTTCGATTGTGCCCACGGCAGCTCGAGCTTGCAGTCTGTTACGTAACAGCTTATCCACTCGAGTAATTTCACATCCAGGTCTTCTCTGAGCGCCTTTATAACAGCAATTGAGAGATCCCACCTGCTCTTAACGTCTCTGATGAAAATTTCCTGGCCTCTGGATCCGTTACCTTGGTTATCTATGTTTCATTAGATTAGAGATGATGGCAGCTTCACTTAGCTCCTCTTGACAGATAAATGGACTCTATCTCAATCTTATCAGGCCTCTCAGGGCTGCAGCGTGGCTTTGTCTGGCGGGGTAAAGGCTGCCAGGTTAGTGTGCGGGGAAAAGAGGGATGATGTCACCGTCCATCCTGTGGCTGGATGGCGGTTTTATGACCGTCAGCTACTGTGATGCATCAGTGCTTTAGGCGAACGATTGCGAGTTTGTTTCCAGCAGAGCAGCTGGACAGACAGAAACCATCACCAAGCGTCCCTCTATCAGCCCTCAGCCAGGCTGCTGTTGTTGCATTGAAACCCAACCTTGTGCAACTCGAGAAAGAACCTACCACCGTAGGTGCATCTGTGTGTGCATCTGTGTGTGCATCTGTGTGTGCATCTGTGTGTGCATCTGTGTGTGCATCTGTGTGTGCATCTATGTGGTGCTTCGTTTCTGTCACATGTGCTGCGTTTGTGACTTTCGTCCAAGCTTGTGCGCTTTTGTTTCAGGTGGAAGTGTTGAACAAGTCTTCTGGATTTAAAAGATTAAACAAAGCTGCAGTTTTAACTTTGCCTTCTTTGTCTTTGCAGGTGTATCTCATCAATGTCACCTACTCGGACAACACCTCCCACATCATCTACAGAAGATACAGCAAATTCTTTGACCTACAGGTAATCCCCCGTCAGCCTCGCCCCGCTCTGCTGCCCTGTGTGGGCCGTGCTTGGATTGAAGTCCCCGACGCTGCCGCCGCTCGCTGGTGTATTCTTCAGCAGGTCGAGCGTGTGAACTTGCAGCATTGTTTTGTATAGATTAATGTGTAAACCTGGCACCCGTTTGCTGCTGCTGCCGTGTCTCTGGCCGTGTTCGCCACACCTCGCCGCCTCAATGAATCGATGTGTGAGTTAGTAATTGGCGGGGGAGACGTGGCTTGTATGCCTCAGCTTGCACCTCTCTCTCCTCCCGCTCTTCTTCTTCCTTTCTCGTCTCGTCGCTGGCTTGGCCTCAAAACGTCAGGGAGCTGACAGGCCTTTTTTATGGTACAAGCAAGAAAGCCACATGGAAGTCAAATTTAATGTACCAGGCTTTGCAGTGGCTTGTCGTTAGATGCTACGCGCTGCTCTGATTGGTGGCTTCTTTAAATAGAGGAGGCTTTTTTCTGCTTTGCTGTCTTGGCTCAGACGCTTTACTCCCTTGTTTAAAATGTTGTTGCGGTGTCTCTTTGGGACTATTTATTTTGGAATGAGGCAGGAGTGGGAATGAAAACCTTTCCTGTATCTTTCACATGGACTCTTCCATACTGGGAGAATGTTTATGTGCACTCCTTCAGCCCCCTTGCACCTTTGCCCTACTGCAAGCTGATACCATATGTAGAGTGCACCAGGGGTCTACCAATAACTAGTAAATATAACAGAGCCATAGTGTGAGAGTTACAGGGAGCACATCTCAATAGCTCCAGTGTGCTCGTCCAGCAGGGAACGATGTTTCAATCAGCAGAGGAAAAGTCCTTTCTGAAAGGTCCCATTGATGACCAGTGAAAAATGGACCCTCACCCCTACTGCAGCTGATTAGTCCCAAACTGGAATAAAGAGAGAGGTAGAGTAATAAACACAGAACAGTATGAATGCTTCATACACTCAGAAAGAACAAAGTTCCTCATTGTAGTGGTTGAACAGCGGCCCTCTGAGGCACTACTTTGTGTAGGTGGACTTATTCACACCTTTGTGGTTTGTACTCGAACCTGTGGTGACATTTTTTTTGGTTTGGTGGCAAAACTAGTTACAGTCTGTGATTAAACCTGCAACTCTAACAGTGAAAATAATATTTATCCAATGTCTTTGTGTATTTTGCCAAACACAGAGATCACAGATTGTGCAAGATGTGGTGCAAATACGCACCTTTTTTAAAAACGTGTTCCTTTCTGGTTCTTAAATGTCCACAAATGCCATAAGTAGCCTCAGACGGCACATTTATGGCGGTTGTACCTGTGGGGACGTGAGTGGACTGTGGATTTGTCACAGCTAATTGCTGAAATATCAGAAACAGATTGCATTAATTTCTAACTTGGCGTCATTCAGCAGTAGATTGGCAGACCGAATGCAGACCGAATGCAGACTGAATGCAGACTGAATGCAGACTGAATGCAGACTGAATGCAGACTGAATGCAGACTGATGGCAGACTGATGGCAGACTGATGCAGACTGAATGCAGACTGAATGCAGACTGAATGCAGACTGAATGCAGACTGAATGCAGACTGATTGCAGACTGAATGCAGACTGAATGCAGACTGATGCAGACTGAATGCAGACTGATGCAGACTGGATGCAGACTGAATGCAGACTGGATGCAGATTGATGCAGACTGAATGCAGACTGGATGCAGACTGGATGCAGATTGAATGCAGACTGGGCAGACTGGCAGACTGATGGCAGACTGATGCAGACCGAATGCAGACTGAATGCAGACTGAATGCAGACTGAATGCAGACTGATGCAGACTGAATGCAGACTGAATGCAGACTGATGGCAGACTGAATGCAGACTGCAGACTAATGCAGACTGATGCAGACTGATGCAGACTGATGGCAGACTGATGGCAGACTGATGCAGACTGATGGCAGACTGAATGCAGACTGAATGCAGACTGAATGCAGACTGAATGCAGACTGAATGCAGACCGAATGCAGACCGATGGCAGACTGATGGCAGACTGGCTCCTTCTTATGGCAGCATTTATATCAGGTCTTAGTGACAGTGAGAGAAGTTTTCCTATTTTCTAAAACAGTTATCAATGATAATCATTTTGTACTGATGTGGTGTTTGGTGATTCATGCCTCTAATATTCACCTCGCCTTCTACAACAGCGAGGTCCTCAAATTGCCTGGGAGGAAACTAATGAGCCTTAATGGTTCCTGGATAGCTTTGTACAAAATGACTCCGTCAGCAGCAGCATGATTGATTTTGTTAGGTATGTGAGATGTCACGGGGGCAAAGGTCGTCTAACTCGGTTCCTTCATTGAGTCAAATAAAGTCGTGTCAACAGAGTTTGGCTGCTTCTCAGTCAGCTCTGTTGTGAAGAATCTTCTGGTAAATATTTCAAACATTTACCAAATGCCGTCTTTAAATCACACTGCAGTGCATCAGCTCCAGCACGGCTCCCCTCCTGATGTTTCCATTTCCACGGTGACATTCATGAATAAAACCACCGCTGGCAGCAGTGACAGGCCAGCTTTCTAATCCTCGTCTCTGTCGGTGTTTGCGCTCAGAGTGAAGTTCTCTCTGCTGGACTTTGATCTCTCTCGATGGCTTTGATGGAGCTTTTTTGATCTCATTGTTTCCAGTGAGACCTGGAGCCTCTCCTGTCCAAACATTTATCTGCTGCGGGGTCCCTGCTGCTTTTAAGCCGCCTTGCTGTAACCGTAAGGGAGAAAAACACAGACTGGAGCTCTGAAAACTGCCGGAGAGCAGTTTAACCAAATCCTTGGCAAACACCGCTGGGATTCCAAGACAGTTTCCTAGTAATAACCAGACCGGGCTGTGTTCCTGGAAACACTGGCCCCGCTTCCAGGCTGCCATCCAAATGAGAGGGACCACAGATGTTGCTTTGACTGACTTTGTATAGGATGAGTCACGGAAACAGGCTCTTTATGTTGTGCTGAATGCACGGGCAGTGAAGCTCACCTGCTTTGATATTAGACACATGAAGAGTGGTTTGAATGTAGCCAAAAACTCTGAGAAAACTGAATCTGAAGTTCACAAATCCTTCGGTTTCAAAGCGCTTCTGTCTGCACAGCGCAGAGAATGTGTTGAGGTAAAAATAATAGGAGCCATATTCGTGCTATTTTGTGTCCCTCTGTGAAAAAGGAAGTCATTTACGGATAATAGAACGAATATATTAGTGCAAAGTGTTGCCAGAATTGCCCTGGAGGGAACCATTTTTTCTGCACTTTCACTCTGTTAGGAGTGTGTTGGATCCCACACTCTTTAGAGAAAAGGTTGTACCTCCGTCTGCCACCTCGTCCATCCAGTGTCACTTTATTGGATGGTGTTTTTCTTCTGGCTGGAGCTTGGCGTTTCCCAACATTTCACTCGATGGCGTTTATGTTTAAATAATGAAAAGAGTCAAAGATAAACTGCTGCTGATGGAAGTCACAGACGTCACTATTGATTTGCCATAGCATTTTAATCTAGCTGCCCTCACTATCTGGAACCAGTTTGCCAAACTGATTAATGCTGTGATTGGTGTCCAACCAGTAAAAGAGCAGGGCTGATGTGGGCTGTCAAACCAGCATCCTCCCAGTGGTGTCTGGGCCGACTCTCGGAGAAGCTCCGTCATCTTGAAAGTAGCAGCTCGCATCTCCTTCAGGATGATTGCTCGATGTCCTGGTGAAGCTTGTTGCTGTTGCAGACGCCGACGCCTCAGCTTCGACCAGCTCACGTTCATCAGAACGACATAAATAGTTGGGCTAAACTTTGTGTTTCACAGCTCGCTGGGCTCTGCTTGGTGGCAGAGTCATTGACAGTGTTTCCACTCGTCCTGGTCGAGCGCAGGGCTGTGATGCCACATGAGTTCACTTTGAAGCCTCCAGCACACATACCTGAAGCATAAGCACATACATGTGCACCAGTCCTCCTCACTGACTGGCTCTTGCTGGCTGCACGGATGTGGTTTTGACTCAGACCTGACTCGTGAGCAGCTCTGGCAGAAGTGCCTGAGTTAATCATCAGGAAACCGGGACAGGGAGCATCCCGGGTCAGCCAGCGGTCCCGGGAGGAAAGGTGGAATGATGATGACGAGGTGATGAAGCAGTGGAGAGCTGGAACAAAAGCTTTAACGGTAAGTGACGGGACTGACGCGGTGATGCAGACGGAAGACATGAGTATTCTGATCATCTGCGTTTCTTCGAGGTCACTTTTTACAAAGCGGCCTTTTGTATTCCAGGAAGCCGTGAGGAGCGGGTGATGGCGCTCCGGGTGTCCTTGGGCCTCTGCTGAAGTTTGTCTATTTAAAGCTGTGGCGTGGCTCTCCATGTGAAAGGAGGCCTCTGACTCACGCCTTTACGAGGCAGCACGCGCCTTCACAAGCACTCTTTTTTTTTTTTCTTCGTCCGAGTCCGCACTCGCACGAGCTTCCCTACAGCTACTGAATGTGCGGCTCAGGGAGGTTTTCATGCTACGGCTTTCCAAAAATCCCTTTTATTAGTTGCTGGGTCTCAAGGCTGGAAGCAGCTTAACGGATGCTAGCAGCAGGTTTCTGGTAAAACGGCAGCGCGTATATATTCAGCACAGCAAATTACACCGTCGCTGTGGTCAAATCGCTTACAAAGAAGGTCACTGACTCGTGAATCTCTAACCTCTATGTGGGCCGTTTGATGGAAACGTGTGTCTAGACCGCGAGGCGTTATCGGTATGCCATCCTCGAGGACAAACTGCTGAATGGACAGAGCGCTAGCTCAGCCTCGTTGTCCTTGAGGTGCTTTGTGGACGAACTGTAACTCAGCCCATTGTTCCAGGTCGAGGCTGCTTTATTTTATTTATGGGCGTGTGCGCCTGAGAGAAGAGGCAAAGGAAGGACACCTACACGCCAAACACTGGACGTGTCCCTCTGAGTTACAATCAAGCAGTTGAGAAGACGGCTACAGGCCGGGTCCTCACTGGACCCAGAGCAGAGG